AAATCTTCTTTTGAGTTACGAAAGTGGATAATAAAATAATTGTGAGGATGCGACAATGGTTGTTCAGGCATACACATGGAAATTGATCGGTTGAAGCAGAGTACTGAAGTTAAGGTATTCTAAACTCATAAAGTTGGCTGACTGATTAGGTAGATAGAACTTGCAGTTTTGATGGAGCTAACTTTCAATTTTTTTTCAGACAGGAGCTTGCATTTCCAACACAAATGTTTCTATCATATTTTTCAACTCTGAAGTGCACGGTCACCTGGGGTTAAATGGGATTGCTGGCAAGATCAGGAGGAATGGGGGCTATGTTAAGATAAGGTAGGGTTTTAGAATGCTAGACATTTCAACTACTTGAAATGAATGGGAGCCCCAGTTTCCCATGGCATCATATAGGAGCATCACTCATATCAGTCTGTCAATGTGATCTATTCATCAGAAAAAAATGTTTGTAGAGTATGTGGCTGAGTCAGGTTCTATGTAACAGTTTTGTGCACTGCTTGGAATTGAAAGTACTATATTGTATTTGTTTAGAGGTTATTTCGTGAGTTGATGTCCCCATTGGACATCAGAGGGGATTTTAAGTGGTAAGTTTTATTAGACTGATTTTCATTCCGTTCGATCTGTGTGCGGTGGTAAATTTGAAAGTCGGGCCCGTTTCTAATCGACATGTTGGCGGAAACCTCTGATCAGTCCTTTCGGGTCCACGGATTGATCCAGATTCCGCGGATTGATCCAATCTGTGAAGCGCTCTCCTGAAGACCTGGTGCATGTAGATTTTGTTGTACAAATGGTGTCAAAAGAGTTGTATAAACATTACGGAGCCCATTTTTGTCTGAGAATGTTCAGCCCTTAGTCAGAATATATACGTGAAAATGCTGTGGAGCATAGTTCTGAACACACGCGCTCGCAAGGTATACAAACGAATCCCCGACGCTCGGTGCAGCAGTCTCTGTAGGCCGCGGGTCGTTGGCCCTGTGACTAATGCTAAGCACGCGGCAACCGGCGGCCAAAAATGACGAGGCATCTGAAAAAGGGCCTTTGAACGCTTCGAGACATCGATTCAGAAACTTAGAATAAAGTCCGGACACATAATTCACCTGCGTTATTTTTAGGTCGGTGATAGGCGCGGAAAATAGCATTTACTGACTGACATTTCAGAGCCAGCCCCTGTGGGCCGGGGCCCTTCATGCGACTTCTAGCTAGCCTTTCGGGCTGTTAGGGCCCACAAATCGCGCCCTTAATCGTCGGCCCCGAGGGGGGGGGGACAGAGCCGTTACTTAATACACTTTCGGGGGCCACTACCCCCATCCAATGCTCCTCTAAGCCCTCTCAATGCATACTAGCAAAAAGGGGATGCTGGGTCATTGGTTATCTAAACACATTACTATTAGTATTATTAGTTCTGTGCCAAAGAAGTATCCTGTAGGCATCTCATTTTTTGTCACGCTAGCCCCTTCACATATTAAGCCCATCTGAAGATGTTTGATAGATTTTTTGAACTGGCGTTGCTTGGAGTGGGATAAAGAACAATTACCTTCAATATGCGGCTGCCTTTAAAAGTATGTGGTGACCCAGATAAAAGCTAAGGAATGTTTTTACCAACAGTGGCAAGTGTGTTTGTCGTGTGATCGTCGCGGCTGTGGTGGTTATACGACACAATCAGCGACAAGCGCGAACATTAATGATCCTTTACTAAGATTTGCAAATATGTTTATTTATGTGACTTATGCCCCATTCTAAGCTTTTCATAAAAATCACATTCACTTAAAATAGGAAGTCATTGCCCGGGAGTAAAACATTTTTGAGGCTACAACACATCTGAAAAGTTTCTATTTTAACATCAAGAAGGCAAGTTCAAGTCGCCGAAATCCGGGCAGAATCAGAGTTTGGGGGAGGGTTAGAGAAACCTTTCCGGATGAACCTCCCTTCAACCGATTTTAGGCAGTGACACTCCTGGCCCGGAGTCCTCGGGGGCTTTAAGAGTGGGAGAGGGAAAGAGCGTGCCCCCTGTAGCCCCTTGGCTGCGCCACTGATTGATACCTGACATATAATACTATAGTACTACGATACCTGAAATATAGTGCGCAAGGTAAGCCAATACCCCATTTTCGGATGAACATGCACACCAAGACTCAGATTGTCCCATATATTTCCTGAAACATCTGATGGGTAACACACGAGGCGAGAGAATTGACACAACATGCGGCCATAACGTGTTGTTAGCGCGCCCAGCCGGCCCGGCGGCGCAGCATGCCGTCCCTGCCATGTCGCGGTGCGGCCTCGGCCTCGCGGTGGAGTGCGACCTATCGCCGCGGGCGCTGACCGCCGTCCCGTGGGGGACCACACGGGACGCGGGATAGGTGCGTGTATGCAACCTGACTTAGGAGTGGTAGTTCACCCGAACTAAATGTTATGTCGTGCCTGTCTGAGATAGCAGGGGCAGGACGCCACTGGACTCGGTGCAATACGGATCGCCGCGTCGCTACACGTACGTCTCTCTCTGACCGAGCTGAGCCGAACCGCTGGACGAAGACATCACATAAAGGACATTGGGCCGATATTGCAACCTGCATCGTTAAAAAACATGATACACGTATGGCCTGAAACCGACGCGTTCAAATGCATACGCATCGAAATGACAGTCGCATTAAAAAATGTAAACTATCGTTCTGCTACCTGCGCTGTCGCCAGGTAGGTGGATGATTGGCAGCTTGCTTTGACCGGGCAGCTTGCTTTGACCGTGGTCATTTCTGTGAGCATCGTGAAACCGATATTCATCGTCAACCATGACTGAAACGTTGTAGCTTTCGGGAAATAACCTGGCAAAGTTTGAAAAACTTGCAAAATTGCGAGAAATGGTACCGAAAAGGACTTAGAATATGACAGATAAGGAATATACACCTCAACAGCGCATGAAAGTCAAAAGTGAACAGATCAAAAGAGCGTGCAAAGATTCCTAGAGAGGAGATACCATTAAAGAGGCATTTTGTGAATTTGAATAGCCTTAGCGACCTCAGCTCCCCTAGCAGCCTTTCAGAATATATCACCTAAAGTCCACCATTTCAGGGTGTTGGATCTCAATGTCTGGTCTAATTAGCGCAGGGCGCTGAGCCGATTTAAGCGTCCAGTTAGCCATTTGGTAGGTGCAAATTAATGACTTGTAAAGCACCACTGACACACTCACTACGGGGGCTATGTGGGCTAAAATCCCCAGAACACGTTGACTGCAAATAACCTGATCATTCACCAAAGGATGTGGTGAATCTGTGTTATTCTTGTCGTTTTGTATTACACACACATGCTATTACACATCATACACACACAAAAATAGTTACGTTGCATATATGGACATTAATACATGTGCATGCATGCATGTGTATACGTACGCATTCGGTTTTCCCTGCTGTCTGATAATTCAACATGTCGCTGTGTCCTCTGATCGCTCGTGGAAGGCATCGAATTCAAAGGGAGCACGCCATCTGAATCAGCAGTGAACGGTTATTGCTGGCCTCATGCCAAACTGCTGATACGAAACTACATGTGAGAGAAAACTGCAGGTTTACGCTATGCAGTTTAATTTACAACCGTTCGTTTGATGAGCTCGGCACGCAAATTAGAACAAAATACAACGTTTCAAAGAAAAAGGGTATGCACAATTTGTCAATCTAGAATGGAAAGCCGCCAAATCCCTCGGGCTTGCAATCTTCTCCTGCTCGAAGCCTCGCGAGCTTTTCTTACCACCGTTAAGATGCAGGCCTGCGAGCTGAAAAGTGACACTCTCCCGATGACGGTCCGGGATGCATCGATATAATCGATGCACTGTCATGTTCATAATGAATTCAGCTGAAAATACCGCAGGCCGCAGTCTCCCACTCTCCCTTCCTGGGTGCGCCACTGTGCGTGCCTGAGCCCTCAATCGAGCGGGCGGCGGCGGCCGCGTGCCAGCCCCGCTCCCCATCCGACCCAATCGGTCGTGGCGTCCGTGACGGGCGCGCAGGACCGCCGCACCAAGTCGCTCCACTCGGCCATTAGGCTCGGCAAGAGTTGTCATGGTACGGCCGCCGTCCGTCAGGCGACCGGGGGATTAGCCGCCGATTTGGCTCGGCCCGGCTCCCGCCCCTGCGCCGCCGCCGCTCGACCGACTCCATTAGAGAGCGCCGCCGCCGGCACGCGACACATCCGGGATTAGCGGGGCAGGTAGCCTCCTGTTGACGTGCTTGTTGGCCTCGCTGTCACTGAGTGGCAAATGGCTGCGGCGTCCGGCAGACGTTCGCCGCTGATCGGCTCAGGTCGTCAGCGGTCGGTGGCTGCCGCGCAATGAGTGGTATGCGCACTGGCACGTCATCGCCATCCGGGAGTGTGCGGGGGTCCTGGGGGGGGGGGGGGGGGGGGGGGGGGGGGGGAGCACGGCCACTCCACGCCAGTTACAGACCTCGACCTTTTCCAGTATTTGGAAGAGTGCCAGTGAGAAGCTAAAAGGCACTTTGAATATATTTGCCTTTTTAAGCAAGCTAGGCTAAGCCGCCTGGTTCATATAACCCGGTCGGGAAGTTGTATCCAGCCCCGTAAATAATTGCTACCTCCCTCTCAAATTCAGAGGCGTACCCTTCAATTGAGCCCGGTGGTCCCTTCGATCACATTCCACGTGCCTCTTTATTAGATCGATCGGCTTCCAGTGATCGTGGGAACGCTGACGGCGGCCCGTTCCCAGTGTTGCGTGTCACCGAGACGGACGTACCCTCGGGCAGGAGGCGGTCAGCGCACGTGGCGGGCCAATGCCACCCTCGTATCACGCGGGCACTTTCCACGAGGCACGCGTTAACACACCTCACGCCACACAGCGGCACGGGGGAAACTGAGTGTAGAGAGAACTTACCGTGCAGTATCTCCGGTTTTGATCGTATATGCAAACCGTTGTCCGTTCTCTACGCATAGTAGATGAGTGTCATCCATTCTTTCCCACACCCGTCCCAAGCAGCCCTGAGCATCGGCGCCTATGCTGCCGGCACAGGACAACGTCAAACTAGAGCAGCAACCACAGCATCGACGCATATTATCATTAAATCTTAGGTGCGAAGAGCTGTGGGGAGACGTGGATGGTCGAGCATGTCCAATCGGCGAGGATCATCAGCGCGAGCGTGCTGCGAGCCGGCCGTGCTGGATGACGCTGTTATTGTCCGTGCCTTTGACCCCTCTCTCCCAACTCGACACCCCACCGATCTGCGGCTGGCCATCGCGTTAGCGGCCAATGGACATCGCTCTTAGTAATGGGTCATCAGCATGTTGACATAGAGGTCCGAGTGTTTGTTAATGGTTTTGCCAACACCCAGGATATATGTCAGCCGCAGCAAATGACTCTGCAAATATTTGACCAGAAGTTAGCTCGTGCACAGCCGTACGATCAGAAACGAGATATGCCTGTCGACCCAGCGGACCTCATCCCTGCCGCCTCTCCAGCCTGGGCCGAGGCTGAGGGGAGACGATCAGCCGCGCGCCCGTCAGACGCCGTTCAGCCTGAGGTCCATCCGCGTTGTGTTCGGACCATGCGCAGCGCTCCCGTAAACTATGAGCGTCACCGTCCAGCATGCGGTAAACCACTTAGGGCCACTGTTTGTTCTGGCATGGGTGCTGTTTTGCTTGCAGTTTTGCACAGTTGGCAAAAGACTAGCTCCCGAGCCAACAGTGCGGTCGCTGTGCGGGCGGTTGCCGCGTCGGGCCAACAGCGCGGCCGCTGGCTGTGCGGGCGGTTGCCGTGTCGGGCCAACAGTGTAGTCGCTGGCTGTGCGGGGCGGTTTGCCGTGTCGGGCCAACAGTGCGGTCGCTGGCTGTGCGGGCGGTCGCCGCGTCGGGCCAACAGTGTAGTCGCTGGCTGTGCGGGCGGTTTGCCGTGTCGGGCCAACAGTGCGGTCGCTGGTTGCGCGGGTGGTCGCCGTGGCGTGCCGCTGCTGTCAGGCTGCTCGGCGTCACATCGCCGCATATCGACTTTTGGGTTAAAGGGCCACCGTCACCTCTCCATTAGTAATTTAACTGTATGTGCTCATAACCAATTCAGCGTGCCTGATTTGGAGCACAAAGCTGCTGTTTCGAAATTATCCCTTTTGATTGATTTCATGACTAACAATTAAGCTATTTAGTTCAATTTTGCACCTAAGTCATTTTTCTTGCAAAAGGTCCTCGTTCGACTGCTTAGAAACCACCAAAAAAAAAAAATGCCCGGTTCGACCAGATCCACAACGGGTCTTCTCACCTGCGGTCACGCGTCAGTTGCGTCGACTTTGTGACCAAGTCGTTTGAATCGGGATTTTTTTTAGCTCTTCCGACGCTTTTGGCACATGGGATCCACTGGCTTTTCATCTCCGTCAAGCACTTCTTCTTTGGGAAAAGGTCACAGCAGGCATGTAATCGTACCTGTTCCGTCTTGCACGGGATCGGCGGGCTCAGGCCCCGACCTGGGTCGAACGTCACGGAAGCGTTTGTGGCCACGCACAACGAACAGAACAGAGCGGACCTGCCAGATGAAGAGACAGCAGTTTTTGGAAACTGGTATAGATATAACGACTCTAGAGTGCGGCCCATCCCTATGCGCCTGTGCCACACCAACAGCCGCGAATTGAACGTGCTTTTCTTCGGGCTGGCCAGGCGTTGATCGGCTGGCGGAAGCTGGCCAGAACACCACAGCTCGAGGGGTTTGAGAAGGTCATCTCAACAGTGGTCCCGCCTGTTGAATAACGCGTAGGCCATCGTGGAAGTGGAAGACGTGCTTACGAATGATCGTTAACGTCTCCGCAAATGATCATAATGTCAATGGACGTCTGCTTATGTAAGCGTAATAGCCTATGAATTCGTCACAAGAATAAATTATCATAGCTGTTTTTTACATTGCAGGGAATGTTTTGCATTTTAGAACATTGAGGCAAGCATCAGACATGATGAAACAAGCTCACTTATAATGATTTGTATACTTTTTAAGTGTAGGACTGCTCTAGACAGTACAATTTTTTGTTTAGTAAATATCTCCGCAATGCGTCATGGTTTAATTATATCCTCACACCCCGAACAACGTTGATTGAGAGCCAATCGACGGCCGATATATCTGGAAATGGCGCTCACAAGCGCTAGATATGAAACGCCTCAACAATTATGTTTCTCTTGGCTTCAAACGTCGCATGGCTTATGGAATGACGGGATTCGAATGACGTCACTATAACGTCATGAATGTCAAGATGACCCTGAAATACCCTCCCGATATACGTTTCCTCCCATTTTCGCGGATGTGTAGCTGAGAGACTAGAGGAGCTTAGGTTTTGGATTGTAAAGAGTAGAATAATGAAGAACACTGATGGGTCTTCAAAATGGCTTTTTCACTTCAAAACCACATTTAAATCTGGGGCAACTACTTTTAACTGTGTGGGAGTTCATGACACCGTATGTTCGATTGCACGCTTTGCAAACATCCTATTCTAAACGGGGCGTGCGACGTAGCGCCTGCGCATCAGAAAGACCCCCCCTCCCCCCCCCCCCCCACTCGTCACCAGTGACAAAGTCTGGCCGCAACTCACGCGGCGGCCGAGTCACTGAGGCGATACAAAGTTATTGGATAGCAGCATTGCTGTGGACACAAATGATATATTTTCCGCCTTTCCTCACAATACCGCTGAGCTTTAGGTCTGCGAATCTACGGCCCCAAAACTTCACAAGGTTAGCTACGGGTAAGCTTGTGAAGTGTGGGGATGCACCTACATTCTCTACTAACAGTCAAGTTTCACGCATGAATAGGTTAACAGTTACAGTGGGCATATCGGTTAAAATACACGTCTAACCACAATAAAACGGATTGCGATGGGCGTTGCTACCACGTGACCAGTCCTTTGCCAGAAATACGGCAGAGTGCTGAATACAGTCAAAAGAAAATGAGTGGTCGGCGGCGTCAGCTGTAAATAATGTTCATAAGTCGTCGTGTTTGAGAACGTCTCCTGCGGCGGTTTCCAGATTAGAGAGGGGCTGGGCTGTCGGTCCGCACGGTGCGGGGCCCGGGGCAGAAGGGAGGGGAGGGAGGGAGGGGGGGGGGGGGGGGGGGGGGCAGCTGAGCCGCCGTCCGGCCGTCTCGTACGGCCCACCTGCGGCCCGAGATCGGCATGCGTCGCGCGGCCGGCCCCATTTCCATCGGCGATTGCCGGCCAGTCGACCGGAAGGCGGGTCGCGAATCCTCCTCTGATTGCTCTTATCCCAACAGGCTTTCATAAGAGCTAATAACGCGGAAAATAGCGGCGAACAAGCCCAAAGCCAGCAGGCCAACAAAATCACCTAACTACGTGAGCAGCACAGACGTCAGCAGCAAGAGGCTTGTTGTGGCCGCGCGCGCCGCCTCTCACGCCTCGAGTCAAGACGAGGCTGTCCAGCAGGTTAATATTGCGGGCGGGCCGGCTACGAAATATGTGCGAATGCTTCGAGCCCGGTGTTGCCTTCATAGAACACACCTCGTTGTGGGTGTAGACCTTGAAACAACTTTTAATGCACTAGTGTGCAACTTTAATAGGCTGCTCGTGTGTGCTGTAGTACTGCAACGGCATGCATACTATTGATCCAGGCGTTGTTTTTTAAATTATTAGCTAACTTTTTACAGGTTCCATCCGATTCTTTTAAATGGATGGATTCCTGGGATCAGAGCTTATGCTAAGCAATGTTTGTTGTGTGAGCACTAATCTGTACTATCTGATCATGCAATTTCAGGCCAACGGAAGAACCTAGTGGCGGAAGCTTCTGGTGTCGCAATGCGCGCCGTGCCGTGTGCCGGCAAGGTCCCTCCTGCCCTCTGACGTCTTCTGGCATTTGGCGCGGCCACTGTCAAGGGCAGCAGGCCATATCTGTTAAGGACAAACAGCGAGGGGCTGAAGCAACTCGAACCTATCCAGCCACGGATGGGTGGGTCGGATGGGCGCTGTAACCAGCTGAGCTATCGGGAAGGACTTGTCAATGCCTGAAGCTGTTATAGGGCTTTCCTGCCTTGAAATTGATGCTTTCGAGGCCTGAGATGGGCTCTCTACGCTTACTTGGATGACAAGCAACAAACGAATTTTTTCCACAATTCCGCCAGCGGCCCCATTTTGGCCACCTGACATGTGGGGGGGGGGGGGAAGATAGGTTTTGGCGTTTTCCTGTCACATGGGGGACAGTTTCGCCTCGCGGGTACTACGCCACTGGCTTTCTGAGTCTGCCATGGGACCCACCCCAGAACAGAGATGGGCGCTTCTCAGGCTCAAAAAGTGAGATAGACCTTAAGTTCCCCGTTCCGTTCCGACCCTGAAGCTCCCTTTTCTCAACTTTTTCTGGGTCCCTACATGACTTGAGGCGTGCGGCTTCTGAGTTTCTGATAAACCCTTTCTAGACTTGAAATGGGCCTCTCTGAAACCTACGACTGGCCATTTCCCGACCCTGAGATGGGCCTTTTTGATCTTACAGATGAGCTCTTTCCAGACCAGAAATGGGCCTGCACCATGCCTGGAAGTGATATGAGGTTTCCCCGTCTTGAAAATGGACCATTCCCAGCCTAACATGGGCCCTTGGAGGACCGGAACCAGACATGGGCCTTTCCTTTCCGGACCAGACATGGGCCTTCTTCGTTTGCTTTAGTGACGCGGCAACAATACCACATGCCCGTGGGTTTCTGCTGGACCATCTGAAATTATGAGGGGGAAGTCAAAAAGATACTTTTGCCACCGCCTCAAAAGATGAGGGGCAGTTTGCCCCCGCTGCTCCCCCCACCGCTCGGATACGCCGACACTGCTCAGGCATGTCGTGTAATCGCGCAAGTCTTGAGCATCCACGAGGACATTCATTGCGCACTTTTGCATCGAAGACGTGCCTGTCTAGCTTTCTGTTCCCTGCGTAGCAAATCTTTTCAGGAAGGCTGCACGGCAATCCACGCGGCCGCCGTGGACGGCGGCCAGCAAACCGACGATTCCGCCAATGGGGAGGGGGGTATGGAGAATGTTGGGTAAG